TGATTAAAACAGTCATTTTTGGGTGAACTAACCCTTTAAAGTATATTTAAGCTTACCAAATTTTGTCAGTGCATTTTAAACATATTTCAACGACAATAGAATACATTAAATTGCATGCAAATATGTACTTTTTAGGGTTGTACTGTTTAGGGTTGACCCACAAAGGTTGACACACTGACCTGGGTTTAGTTTACCTCTCAAAATAATGAAATTTTTTTTTTTCATTTCAATGCGAGTATAGTCAGTAGTTTAGCCAGCCAAACCAGGAACAAGATCTCTCCTGCTGTTGATTCCATGTACTGTATTAGGTCGCAATTTAGACTCCATTAATCTCAGCCATAATCTGTAGCAAAATCCTTGTGGTTTTCCTAGGAGACTGACCCTCCGTTCCTTTCTGAATCTCTCTCTGCCTAGCGTAGGTTCACGGAGAGATACGTTTCCCGTCGCGTTCTGCCCCCTCCGGCTCTCTGCTCATCCGTACGGAATAAACAGAAAGAGCTGAGTGGAAGCCCCACAGGTGACCTCATGATCGCCGCAGCATCTGGTTAAATTACTCAACATCACGCTCGGCAGACGTGTAATCCCACATAATGCCCATTTCTCAAAAAGTGCACCAATTTGGATAAATCCAGCAATTCAGCTCTATGGCCCGGAGATTTCCACAGGGATGGTTTCATAAGCATGGAGGGCACAGGGTGGGCACAGGTCAGGGTGTGGGAGAGGATGATAGACATCATTGGGGGTGGTGGGATTGGTTTCTGCTACTGTGGTTAAAAGCACAGATTTCATTGGTACAGCTTAATAGTCCAGTAAACACATCTTGTTTATGCACAGAGCTTGTCAGTAAAGCTGCTCTCACTGGATTTCAAGAATCAAGGCCAAATTAACAGCCATCTTCTCCTGACCTGAATCTGAGGACACACAAACAACCCAACTGAAGAAAGAAAAATACACACATCCTACAGAAGATCGTATATCTTACATTTTGGATTTTGAAGTCTCAGGTCTCCCAATCTTTTGGACCAATTCATTTTTGTTACTTTTCCATACCTTGTTCATGGTTATTACATCCAGACATTTAATGTTAACTGCTATGAAATTATAACTACCATAATTTAAATACAATTATAGCCACTTCAGACATTTCATTGATTTTTTTTAAGGTCTGCATGGAAATTACATTGATATTTACAGGGTTTTTTTTTCCAATATTAGTTAAAACCCTACAATCTAATACCCTTTCTGATCAATGAATCATTAAATGAAAAAAGAATGTATGATATATATTGTATATATGTGTGAGAAAGTCAGTGTTCACTCGAGATTTCCAGGAAAGGTGTTACAGCCTTGTGGCCACATTAAAGAGGTCGGACGTCACACACAAAATAACAGTAGGTGGTCACGGCTCAGCGACTCACACATGTATCCGTAGGCAGAGCCGGTGTCAGCTCTTTAGCTTTGGTTGTCGATAAAGAATGACAGCAAGAAGGACAGAAGAATACTGATACATGTTTACTGGCCGTGATGACTACGCATTTATGTCGTTTATGTTTATGTTAACCATCGCTGGCATACAAAACAGCTTAATCCAAGGATAAAGAAAACGGTCCGGCCTAAGAAGAAACCGGAATGTCATGTAGAAATATGAAATTAATTAACCCTGAAATATTACTCAGATGTAAAAATCCATTACATTTGATCGGATTTGGTCCACATCCATGTTGAAAGGGATTTGTGATGATTTGCAAAGTCTGACCAGGGGAAAAATTGTTCCACATTTTAAAATGAAACACATTGAGATTCCTTTTATGCTTGTGTAAGGCAGCCGAGATTTGGCCTGAAAACAGCCAAAAGTGACATTTTAATTATCAGCCTGGTGAGGTGCGGCTTAGTGTGTGTGTGTGTGTGTGTGTGAGAGAGAGAGAGAGAGAGAGGACACACTAAGACCTGCTTTCGAGGGTTAAGACACAGCTTATGCCCTTGGCTGTGTGGGGACTTAACACCAGACGCTCCTGAAGAGCATTTGCCTCATCTATCAGAACAAGACGGCAGCGGTTAGGAGAGGATGACGGGGGAGGGAGAGAGTGATGGAGGATGAGAGGAATATGGATAGACATAGACGGTCCTCAGATCTATGTCACACTGCCCCCAGTGGACTTGAGCACGACAGGGGAAGGGGAAAGCTGAATAATGTGTAATGAGACACTCTATAAAGTTGAGTCCTGCAACACAGTATTGGATGGGAGAGACGAGCGTATATTAAAAGACCTTTTTTATGATGTTTTGCTGAAATGCCATTAAAAAAAAAAACACTGATTTCCCTTGTGACACAGGCAGTGACAGAATACAGTTATTGAGAAAAGCATCGGATGGAAGAGAAGTGGACAGATGTAAGATATATAGCCTACTTGTTTCAAATAAATCTATCTAGAATTAAGTTTAGTTACTTTTATTAACCCATTGGAAACTAGTTCTTTTTAAACATAAATCTAATAACATTTCTGGAGGGTTATGATTAAAATGATGCAAATTTGCTGAGATTAACTTAGTTAAAAAAACATTTTGATCCAATAATTTATCTCCTACAAATATTTATTTATATTTAATGTCAAATAATGGAGATGAAAAGTGAATTTTCACAGAAATTACACAAAGAAACCCAGATTTCCCTTGTGACAAGGGCAGTGGAAACAGATATGATAATTTTCATCCAAGGAATGGATGGAACGAAAAGGGGCAGATGGAAGAAATTCCATATTTTCTGTCTTGTTTTCCAGTTAAATAATCCAAAAACCCTTTGAAATCTTTGAATAGATGGATATAACATTATTTCACAAGATAACAATTCATGGCTTCAGAAAATACATCTAGAATTAAGTTCAGATACGGCAATTTTCTTGTTTTAAACATAAATGTAATAACATATTTATGAGGTTTATGATTAAAACAAGAAATTAATGCCAGTGGGGTATATTATCCCAAAAACAAGTTTTATCATCTCAAGCAATTTTGATTTTCAAGCCATTTCATTTTGTTCTAAGAATTTTTGCATTTTTGGATGAAATGAGACACAAATCCTCATTAAGTAGAAGACTTTTTGTGATGAAACATGCTTTTCCACATGGAAAACCCTGATTTCCCTTCTGACACGGCCATTGAAGGTAAAAATATATCGCGAGAATCAACATTTCCATCTGAGGGACGTACTGTATTAGAAAAGAGAAAAGGTGGGCAGACAGAGAAACAAAAAAAAAGGGCTGTATCTCAGAAAATGAACAAACTATGACTAAGAGAGGGAGAAAAAAGACAAAGAGAGAGAAGCTCTTGGACAGAAGGTTTGCCTGTGGTGCGACAGCTTTCTGTGCTGCACAAGGGTGCGCTTCTGCCCGACTGTGTGCCATCAGTTAGGGCTTGTCACCTGGTGTGTGTGCGTGTGGAAAGTGCCCTACATATACCCTCAACTCTTGACAAAAACTCAATACAGACTTTCTAAGCTCCAAGCGCAGCTATTGGACTTGTTAGTCAACTTCCTCATCTTTTATTTTCTCCCCTAAATAAAAGACTTGTTTTTCTCCGGGACTATTTTCTAATATATGTATTTCTGCTGACACTGGTTAGCTCCGTAAACAGCAATAATGTGTAGAACACAATCTAGCTTTGGGGAACCTGCCATCCCCGGGGGCAGAGCCGGGCGACAAGAACGCCTGTTGTTATCTCGTGTTTACCTGCCTGTTTCGCTTTTATTTTCTACAACCTTAGCTCAACTGCACAGCAAAGCAAAACAAGCCGACTTTGCCTCGTGCGTGACGCTTTCTGTGCTGAGAGTCAGGAGGGAAGGTGATCAGACAGACTGTCTGACTGCATTTCTATTGGCGGCAACTGTGTATTGTTAGCATGATTGATGATTTCAAACAGTAATAAGCTTCTTTTCCAGAAATTCATAAAGTCAGTTTGTTATGCAAACTCATAGCATGTAGGATGTTCAGTGTTTTCATGAAAGATGTCATTCTAAAAGCATCCACAGTGGAAATAAAAGCCTATTCGCTGGACTCCGCTATAAAACTAGATCATAAAGCTGACAGCCTCCCGAGGCATGATCTACTAAACAAGAAACGGAGCGCCCCGTACTTCACTCCCACTGTCATCCTCAAAGCAGTTCCACACTCTCTCCGTTTTCATGTGTGAGGTTATATATTAACACTGTGGGTTATGTGAACATGCTGCTCTTGCCATCAGATCATGAGGGATGCGGTATTTGCAACAATTTAATGAGAATCGGAGTGAGGAAACAAGTTGAGTGATAAGCAGGTCATTAAGTTTGCTCCGCCGACTCGGCTCGGCTTTGATTTGCGTACGCTGTGCGATAACCGTGAAGAGACGGGAGAGCAAGAGAGACCTCGTCGTACTCAAAAATAACCGAAACTCTGCAGCCTGAGATGATTCCATTAAAGCACGAGGACTTTGTGTTTTGTAAGCCCAAACAAACTCTTAGCTGGTTGGAGCTTCAAATAAAGTCCTGGGGCTTTCGGATTTATTTGAACTTTCTTTTTCTGGGTCACCGCAGAGGAAGACAATCAACTCAATCTAGTATCCAGCGCCGGCGAGTCACTGCCTCCCCTTTCAGCTGCTCGCGCACGAGAGAGCCGGCAAACGCTCTTAGGGGTCTCCGCGGCAGTCTCCGATTCAATCCAATTGTTTTTCAAAGACAACCACCTGGCGGCAAGCAGCGGAAACATCGACGCTAAGCCCGACTGTTTACAGACTCGAGGATAATCACACGAGTGACAAGTGTGATGTGTTTGCTCGTTGAACATCCTTTGACGTGGTAACGGTCAATAGCCTGACCTCAAGATGTTCAATGAAACTTGAATGACAGACAAACACTCTCTAAACTGTTACTCTCACAGAGCTCAAGACTCCAGTTCAACTCCCAGAGATTCCCATCTCGCACACTGACACAGGACACAACACAGCGGAGACGAGGAGACCAGGCGGCTTACCGTGACCCGTCAGACACAAGATCAGCAACACCTCCGGGATCATCTCGGCACTTCGCAGGGGTGGTGACCTCTTGGGAACCGAGGGGAAGTCGGGCTGGGAAAGTTCACACACACGCACCGTGGCTGGCTGCTATTGTCAGTCCCCCGATGTGCGCTCTTAATGAAGAAAGGCTCTCTGTCAATCTCTTTCTTCTTGTGTTCCCTTGTTCGCTCTCGTTCTCAGTGGGATGTGATAACAATCTGCTGTGTTGTCCTACGGTAACTGAAGTGACTCTGTTCTGGTGATGCGTGTGCAGGCGCTCTCATAAACTCACAGTACTCATGCTCTCTCTCTCTCTCACACACACACACACACACTGCTCTTCCATTCTCCAGCTCACAGAGTCAGTCAGCCTCTCTCTCTCTCTCTCTCACTCCTCCCTCGCTCTTTCTCTCAGTGGAGGAGGGGGCCGGCTGCACACAAGGCCCGCCCACCTGATCAAGCGGAGCAGCGCTGTTCCAACAACAGGCTGGGAATCAGAGCTAACCATTGGGAACTGGGGAAAAAAGAAAGAAAGAAAGAAAGAAAGAAAGACTTTGACTTTTAAAGCAATTTATTCCATCATCAAAAAAACCTTAACATCTATAAAACATAATTTATCAAAACATTACCATTTAATAAAAAAGAGGTCTTCGTCTTCTATAAAAGTTAAACTCTTATTTACACACCATTTCCTCTCAAAAATTGGAAGATTACCATTCATTTTATTAAATTCATATTCCAATCTTATTCTGGATTCAACTAAGGCCCTAAATAAATTAACCATGTTTACTCCTTGTCCTTCTATTTCACTTCTATGAGCTTTCCAAATGGCTAATTTTGCTTGACCAAACAAAAAATTTGAAAACGTACCGATTTCCCACATATTGCGAGAATACTTACAACCAAAAATAGAACCAAAAAAGAAAGAAAGAAAGAAAGAAAGAAAGAAAGAAAGAAAGAAAGAAAGAAAGAAAGAAAGAAAGAAAGAAAGAAAGAAAGAAAAGGGAACATCCACATGTCTAATAATCAAATGAGCTGTGATTGGTTGCTTTGCATGTCAATCATCTGGTTCTGGATAAAAGGTCTCAGGTTGAACCAGTCTTGCGGAGTCAAGAGTCTACGAGAACACAGAGATGGACTCTTATTAGCTCCTCTTTTCTAAATGAGTAAAACAGAATTCAGACTCATCATTTATTGCCCACTAATGTAGACGTTGTTAATCTCACTAATGCATTACTTGCTAACAAGACTGTTTTACACACTAAATATTGCATGATGCATTCCCCTTCTACTTCCTCTCTAGGCTTCTATAGGAAATAAGGCCTGGTGCATTTCTTCAGTAAAACAACAGGAAAAGAACAAAATGGTCAACAGATATAGCCTTGTGTGAATTATTTAGAGGTAATAATCTTAGTTTATGGCAGCCACATTGAAACTGAAAAAGTGGTTATATGTTCTATCTTCTAACTATATATATATATATATATATATATATATATATATATATAAATCGTTCTTTTTGATACATTCATGAAATATTCAAGGCGATGAAAACCTGGCAGTTAAGTAAAAGATGTGCTGTTTCAGTCGTGTTGAAGGTTTATGGTTTAAGCTTTAGTCTTAAGATCTTGTTAGCTTCAACAATCAGTTATTTTATTTTGAGCCGGTTTTAAACCAGAATATGCCCCTGGGTTGCTCCATCTGACTGAAGCACACAAGCCGAGGATCAATATTTCATGAGGATACCTTATCACCTGATTTCTTGTTGATAAATCCTCTATTTTGAAGTCTTTCAGTGGTATTTTAAAATAAATAAACTAAAACAAGTAGAACGGTTCAATGTGTCTGACCTGTTTAGCTGAAAACCGGGATTGCATGTGCACATGGAGCACGTGTACTCATTTATATACATTAAACCACTTGTTTTACAAGCTACCGTGTACAAATACATATGTATTTGGGGTATAACACTTACACTACATAAATATGACGGTTCGGTACAGCAGTGCGGATAAAACAAAAAACAGTTACATTATAAAATAATTAAAATGTTCTTAATGATTAAAAAATCATTAATGATGTACACTTTATGGGGAGCCCTTAATTACACATTTCTTTAATAGAATAAAGGTTACAATTAACAACAGAGCCCAAATTATTAAAGGGGTGGTTAAGTATGATTTTACTTTTCTAACTTGAGTTAGTGTGTAATGTTGCTGTTTGAGCATAAACAACATATGCAAAGTTGCAACACTCAAAGTTCAAAGCAAAGGAAGATATTTGCTTTTAAAGAAAAGGACTACAACACACGGCTGGTAGAACTACAGGAGCTTGTCATCAGCAACCCCAAAATGTACATAAAGCCCGCCCCCGGGAACACAGTCCATGTTGAGAAGAGGAAAAGTTGTTGTATAAGAGCACATTTGTGAGTCAGCTCAAACTTTAGCATCCATCTTTTCACATGCAATAGAAAGTTACTCTGTGTGGATCTCACAACAGTTCCTATATGAGCGATTTATAGATCATCCCAATTGATGATAGTTAACTCCACATCAGCAACATAAATGCATCAATTAACCATTCAGAGACGTCCTGTTGCATTCTACATGTTGTCACTTCTTCTTGAGTCTCTCCATATTTGTCTGCCTCCGTTTTAACATTAAGGCAGAACAGTTTTTTGTCATTTTAGTGTGTCTGCATGAGGTAATCGCAGCTACTAACACAAACACACGAGCTCTTGAAACCCCGCCCTCTGCAGCAGCTCATTTGCATTTAAAGGGCCAGGCACAAAAGGGTACATTTTTGCAAACCCTCAAAAAAGTGACAACTTTAACATCCTATATACAAATATATATGGTGTATTTTGTGCTAAAACTTCACACACGCACTCTGGGGACATCAGAGATTTATTTAAGATCTTGTAAAAATGGCATTTTACCACTGCTTTAAATTTAGTTGTTTTATTCTTAGATATAACAATCAACACTCTGCAATAAAATAAATAAAAACATTTCTACACACATTTCACATAATGTAGGCTTTGTATTAACTTCAAAATGTAATTATATAGTTAATTTTCTAGTCCAATTTTGTGTGTGTGTGTTTTTTTCTTGACAAATCTATTTACACATACATTAAATAATCAATGCATTACTAACAGTTTAAGTAAATATAATGACTATGCTAATATAGTGCACATACGAAATGCTTCTCTGGAGTGCATTTCTTTAGTGAGCTAACCTGCTAGTCAACACTAAATGCAAATGAGGTAAATGTAAGACAATGTGAGATATTATTCTCAAGCTGTTTTATTGATCTCTTTCCACAGTTGAGAGATGTAAACATATTGAGTGTGCCCCCTTGTGGATAGGAGTGTTGAATCTGTGACTTAATGCATTGATCGTGCGACCGCATGCACCGAACGGTGACGAATACATACCAGTACACCCCTAATATGTATTTATACAGCAAGGCTGTGTGGCCTGAAGGTCAATGATGATGCGTCCTCTATTGACCTCTGTTATTGATGATATCTACCAGTATACTATATAATGGCATAGAGAAGCAAGCTTTTGAAAATTACTATATGGATGGAAAGTGTAACATGGACATCGTTTAATCTGATATTAACATCTGCCTCGGGGTGATGTTATTACAAGTGGACACTACTGAAGAGATATTTTATCCAATCACTCAAACTACACTCAAGGGTGGTCGAAAATGCATGTGACTGCATCACATTTGAAGTGTAAACGCTAACGCATTCTGATGTGTCCCGGGCAACATCCCAGGAATGCCTGCACACCTGTCAATCATCCATTTAGTGAAGAGGGGTTTAAACTTGCTGGATCGTTACACTCATTTTCAAAAAATAAAAATAAAAAATGCAGCGCATACATATGATGTACAACTTTGGTTTGACTGTGAAATTAACATGTAATGCATGCAATATATCATGTAAAGTTGAGATATTACTTGAGCCTTGATTTGAATTGCATTGAATCTTGGATCTGTGGCCTGGTGTTTTCTCCAAAACCATTGAGCTATTGTGCTCATTTGGGAGATGAGGTTTTAATCTAGCCTGTGTCTTGCCACCCCCTCTCCTATTTATTCGTTTGTTATCAATGAAATGGCTAAAACCTTGAAATAATTGAAATAACAATAACAATCCTGAGATGCAAGTCTAAATTGCAAACATATTGAGTCAAAATTGATGGAAAATTCTAACAATGGCAGGGTAAATGTATTGTGAACAAACATTAATTAACAACAAAGATGGGATAGTTGTGCATCAACATTAAACTAGATTAAAAAGCTGCAAAAATGATTGTCCATACACTTTTTAGACACAAATGGAAATCACCACAACTGGCTTCTGCGGTACTTCTGGATATGTAGGCGCAAGCTACAGAAACAGACATGTCACTTTTTATTTAACTCAATGTGTGACTGGCCTGTCAGTCATATTTAAATCTTTCCTTCTGGTGTGGAAGGTTCCACAACAGGCTTCACTTCATTTAACATCTAATAGAAAGACAGCATTACCATTTGGACCATCGGGTACGGGATCCACAAGCCAAGGCTCAGATGGCACTTCCCAACCTCTTTATTCAATCTTTTTCATGTGTTCGTCATGGTTTTCTGGAATCCGTATTTATTAGTTAACATCGCTCTGACGTTTGTTTCTCTGCAATAAACAAGTTCAACATTTATAATATTTCTTTGAGACCATGTGATTGACATCTCCGGGTCGGCCACCTCATCTGCTCAGAATTACACTTCTGACTCGCACTTTCCTTTCCTCACTCGCTCTGGTCTTTCTTATAGATTGATGCTTACTTTGTTCCAGGTAATTTTTAAGGGTGTATGTTTCAAAAGGTCACTTTGCAGCTCTCAGTCATTAAGTCAGTGAGTGTAGAGAGAGGGAACAATGTAAGCGTTGAGATGAAGGCGTGAGAAAGTTCAGCATAAATGAGATTGATTGCCTTTCCTTCCCCATGTGAAAACACTTCAGCTAACATTGAGATCAATCTCTTGCGGCTTTGCGAAGAGCTTTTGGTTTAAGGAACTCCACATTTAGAGCTTGTATATTTCCTTTTGACACATTTATGTGGCTGTTGGAATTGGAAAAAATTCAGTGTTCAGCTGCAACAAAAGTAGTACCCCACCATTGATGGAAATTTGTGACAATTTGTTGCACATCTTCTGAAAGAGTACTGATTCTTCAGATCAAAACACAGGCGAAGAAGAAGCAGAAACATTAGCCGTTTCTCAATATGCGTTCTTGTCTGTACTTGTGTTCTTGTGGACTTGAGAAACGTCATCAGTCACTGCCCAA